AGGTAGTTCAGAACCCAACAATACATTTACAGTCCATGTATTATACATAAAAAATAAACAAAATAAAAAAAATAATCACAAAAAAAATTATAACTTTCACAAAAAAAGAGATATCTTCACCAAATAAACAAATGTGTCTACATTATGAGTCTCAAAGCAATCTGGCAGGCAGTTTTAGAGAAGAAGTCAAAAATATGCAAAATGAGCAAAAAAACCTGAAAAATAACAAATAATACCAGTTTATTTGATAAAAAAAAATGACAGAAGTCATTTCTTAGCTCATGCTAAGTGCTCAACAGTAGTCATAAAACGTACCTTGTGTTAATTTTGTAGGGGAGTTGACATTCATACCATCTATTGTACAAGGTCCAATAGGATACAAAATAACTTCATCCTGAATGTTTTGAATATAACAATGTTCAGCTTCAACACCAGTACCAGTGATTACAATATCAGGTTGCTGTCCAGCATCAGCACGTCCAATATATGTTTTACCTGTATTTCAAAAGACACTTAAAATCATATATGTATGTCAAAATGACAGCACTCATTCCGGCCATATTATATTATTATGCAATTGTGTTTGTTCTGAATATTTGTTCTTATTCTGTAGAATGGGCATCATATTGAACCGGGTCACCTAGAACGATACTACAGATCCTGTATTGGTATTGGACACTCAACCAATTTATGGCCTCTATAATAAAATTATTATATCATTGTGTTTGTTGTGAATATTCTTTTTTTTGATAATTGGCGTTATAAATATTGAATTCGTACTTTGTAGTCAAATTTACTAAATATTTTGTGTTCATGTTTTCTGGATCTAATTTAATTTTTTTGTTTACTTGGGGTTGGGTCGAATTGTAGATATTTTGTGTTCATGTTTCTTGGTCAAATTAAATCTTGTGTTTACTCAAATTTAAATTTGTGTTCACTCTAGGTTGGGTCGACTTTACTTGTAAATACAGTCTTTGCCATCTCTTGAGAGACTTTGCATGCATTATCAGTTGTTGTAGC